TAGGAACATTGAGTTCATGAGTTTTACCAAAAAAAAAAAAAACCATTGATTTCATAAGACTAGACACATGACGAGAGACAGAGATTTCATAATTACAAACCAAAAACAAGAAGCATACATAATTGATAATCCTATACAAAATTGATTGCATTCACGTGACCCTATATTTTAAAATTAAAATTCTTCTTACAGATTCAAGAGTATTGTTTTCTAGATGTAAAATATACCTTCTTCCCAGAGTCTAAAAGAATATCAATTATACAACGCCTCGTATGGTTTCGATGTTGCAGATAGACAAGTTCCAGAATTCTGAAATCGAAAACCTAAAGGAAGAAGACGACGCCGTTAATTAATGAATCTTATTGTTAATAATTTATTTTCTTAATTAGTTTTATTTGTTTATTTAATTTTTAATTTTTATTTAAGTATTAGATGACATGGCATAATGATTGGATTAAAGTAATGGAGGTGAATACAAGGGTTCACCCCTAGGGGTGAACCCAAGAATTGTTCGTCTATAAGCCATCCCTTCTATTTATAGAGAAAAAAAGTGTGATAAAAGCTTTCCTTTTTTTTTGCAAATTTTTTTCTTTTCTTAAAGAGTTAACTTTATTTATTTATTATCATTCGATTGAGAAATACATGGATAAGATACGATTTTGATACATGAAATCGGCAAAGATAGAACTTTCCAAAAACTATGCCGGTAGAAGACTAACATATCTCTGGAAACTAAACTCAAACAAAAGAAGCTAAATAGAGATAACGGGGTCAGAAACCACAGATTACGAACAAAATATAACTCTATATAAAGCTCAAGACTTACCAATCAAGTTCCCTTGAATACATACTAACCTCACAAACCAAGTAATAAAAGCTTACTCTTTTATTTTATTTTATATATTTTTTTGTCTTATATATAATTTAACACAAACCAAGTGAATGTTAATCTAGTTATTTTTTTCCTAGATTTGTGTCAAAGTAGATAAATTTCAGTTAATTATATCAATATTTTGTGTTAAATAGAAAATTTAGTTTTAATGTTAACTATTTGTTAAAAAAATAAAATCAATATTACTGTTCAGTTACTGAAACAATAATAAAAAAAAAAATGTAGGGCACATGTATATAGAATTCTTGTAATTCATGTCACATTAGGACATATTTATAGTTTCGTTCTTTGTTTACTTCAACCAATCTTGTTTCAGTCAGTAAAACCTCAGTACTAATTAATTAGAGTGATCCATGCGATGACGACAAGCACCATTTGATTCGTTTCACACAAAATACATTTTCCAAGTTTTCGCCGAAGATAAAGCTTCTTATTTTCATTTACTACCAAAATCTTCCCACAAAATTTTTATTTTTATGTAAATTTAAGTCTATTTAATATTTGTGATCATTTTTGTTATGCAGTATTTTCTATGACTGGTTGCATGGTTTTAAATAAAAATATTAAATAATATTTTTGTATTGGAAAATAAATTTTTAATGTGTGTGATTTTAGCCAGAAAATCTTATAAAATGAAACAGGAGTATGCAGAAGAAGTGTGCATTTCAATATATGTTGTTGGTAGTTTTCGGTTGTGTTCTAAATTACTAAAACTCATATTGATTATTATACATATACATATTTTATAATTATAATATAATCAGCATTAGCTCTTAAACCCCACTTTCTATGTAAAAAGTCAAAATACTGGTTATTGTTGTAAGTTGTACCACTTCACCAACTAAAGTAGTCTTTAGTGCAATCTCTTGTCCCTCACACTCACACAGACAACAAATACAATATTTGTAATTTTATACAACAATAGATATATGGCACTAAGATTACCCACTTTGTATTGTTTCATGCACTTTAATCATATACCTAAAAAATGGGTCCAAACACATTTTGATAAATGCTTGAAGATCATCACGATTCACGCCTAGTGAATAGAGGTACAAGTTATCAGTTGTTATTATTGATTGCCATTTAATTTCTCTGTACTCGTTTTCTTTTTTCAACTTTGTGATGTTTCAAATTATAATTGGAAGGACCTTAGCTTGAGTTTAATGACACACTTCATATAGATACATACATACATTAATTATTTCCACACCTCATCATGACACCTACTAATGTTTACTTCAAATTTTCTCTACAATGATCAAAATAGTTCACTGTTTCCCAATATATTTTCACTTTTATTTCGATTGTGTATACTTTTATAAATAATTTGTAATAGTTCCGAATTATCAGAAACCTTACCTAGTTAACTAAAGATATTTCCATTTTCATAAGGATTAGCTTGTTATCAAGAGAGAAATTAATGAATAAAATCCATACTACTAATATATGATGTTATCAATTTTTTTTTGTTTTTTGTCAGTATACATTAATGATGAAAATAATAAAGAAAAAGTACTAATCTATAATTATCCGAATAAATGTCTTTTGTAATTGTGAATAATTGTGTCTTTTTATCGCAGTTTTTTTAAAAAAAATTAAAACAAATATTTTAAGGTTGTATTTATTTAGAAAGTTTCAATCCGAGTAAATATCTTTTATGGTTGCGTCCTTTTAATCGTAACTATTAATAAACGGTTGAACTATTGCAACATTTACAAAATTTAGTTTATTTCACGAACAACTGCAACTTTTGTTTAATTATATAAATCGTTAAAACATCTAATTATACACCGTCGCGTCTCTCTATGTAAATTTTCGTAAATTATTATTTTAATATTTATTTATTATAGTGTATTTAAATGAAATTATAACCGTTTAATTGAACCGCCGCAACATATGGTTTATTTGACAAATGATTGTAACTTTTGGTTATTTTATTAACCATTATAATTTTTGGTTTAGTTGACAACCGTTGCAACATTTTGTATATTTGACAAACCGCTGTAGCTTTTTGTATATTACATATCTATGGTCGTGTCTTGTGGTTACTGTTTATAGTAATATTTATAAAAAAAATAATTACTAAAATATATTGAAATCATTTGTATCTACCGTATAATTCAACATAGTAACATTAGATTTATTTGACA